GTGGGCATTCCCGAGCCATTAGGCTCGGCCAAAAATACATATCCATTTGAACCCGTATAAACGGGTTCAGGGCCGGTTTTACCTCCCCGAAGGAGACTCCGCCCTTCGGCGTAGCCTCCTTCGGGTTCCTCCCGCCCGTAGGAAGAGAGTTTAACCGTGCAGTCGGTTCAGACTTGAACTAGTGACGATATTCAGTCACCCCCACGAGGGTGTCATGTGGCACAAGGCCTTTTTTAACGTGGGCATTTCCGAGCCATTAGGCCCGGCCAAAAATAGCCCATTCGAACCCGTATAAACGGGTTCAGGGCCGGTTAACCTCCCCGAAGGAGACTCCACCCTTCGGCGTAGCCTCCTTCGGGTTCCTCCCGCCCGTAGGAAGAGAGTTTAACCGTGCAGTCAGTTCAGACTTGAACTAGTGACGATATTCAGTCACCCCCCCACCCACGAGGGTGTCATGTGGCACAAGGCCTTTTTTAACGTGGGCATTCCCGAGCCATTAGGCTCGGCCAAAAAAATAGCCCATTCGAACCCGTATAAACGGTTTCAGGGCCGGTTTAACCTCCCCGAAGGAGACTCCGCCCTTCGGCGTAGCCTCCTTCGGGTTCCTCCCGCCCGTAGAAGAGAGTTTAACCGAACAGTCAGTTCAGACTTGAACTAGTGACGATATTCAGTCACCCCCCACGAGGGCGTCATGTGGCACAAGGCCTTTTTAACGTGGGCATTCCCGAGCCATTAGGCCCGGCCAAAAAATAGCCCATTCGAACCCGTATAAACGGGTTCAGGGCCAGTTTAACCTCCCGAAGGAGACTCCGCCCTTCGGCGTAGCCTCCCTTCGGGTTCCTCCCCGCCCGTAGGAAGAGAGTTTAACCGTGCAGTCGGTTCAGACTTGAACTAGTGACAATATTCAGTCACCCCCTCACGAGGTGTCATGTGGCACAAGGCCTTTTAACGTGGGCATTCCCGAGCCATTAGGCTCGGCCAAAAATAGCCCATTTGAACCCGTATAAACGGGCTTCAGGGCCGTTTTATCTCCCCGAAGGAGACTCCACCCTTCGGCGTAGCCTCCTTCGGGTTCCTCCCGCCCGTAGGAAGAGAGTTGAACCGTGCAGTCGGTTCAGACTTGAACTAGTGACAATATTCAGTCACCCCCCACCACAAGGGTGTCATGTGGCACAAGGCCTTTTTAACGTGGGCATTTCCGAGCCATTAGGCTCGGCCAAAAAATAGCCCATTTGAACCCGTATAAACGGGTTCAGGGGCCGATTTAACCTCCCGAAGAAGACTCCGCCCTTCGGCGTAGCCTCCTTCGGGTTCCTCCCCGCCCGTAGGAAGAGAGTTGAACCGAACAGTCGGTTCAGACTTGAACTAGTGACAATATTCAGTCACCCCCCACGAGGGTGTCATGTGGCACAAGGCCATTTTAACGTGGGCAATTCCGAGCCATTAGGCTCGGCCAAAAAATAGCCCATTTTTTGACCCGTATAAACGGGTTCTGGGCCGAGTTAACCTCCCCGAAGGAGACTCCGCCCTTCGGCGTAGCCTCCTTCAGGTTCCTCCCGCCCGTAGGAAGAGAGTTGAACCGTGCAGTCGGTTCAGACTTGAACTAGTGACAATGTTCAGTCACCCCCTCACGAGGGTGTCATGGCACAAAGGCCTTTTTACGTGGGCATTTCCGAGCCATTAGGCTCGGCCAAAATAGCCCATTTGAACCCCATGTATAAACGGGTTCTGGGCCGGTTTAACCTCCCCGAAGGAGACTCCGCCCTTCGGCGTAGCCTCCTTCGGGTTCCTCCCGCCCGTAGGAAGAGAGTTGAACCGTGCAGTCGGTTCAGACTTGAACTAGTGACAATATTTAGTCCCCCCCCACGAGGGTGTCATGTGGCACAAGGCCATTTTAACGTGGGCAATTCCGAGCCATTAGGCTCGGCCAAAAAAATAGCCCATTCGAACCCGTATAAACGGGTTCTGGGCCAGTTTAACCTCCCCGAAGGAGACTCCGCCCTTCGGCGTAGCCTCCTTCAGGTTCCTCCCGCCCGTAGGAAGAGAGTTTAACCGTGCAGTCGGTTCAGACTTGAACTAGTGACGATATTTAGTCACCCCCACGAGGGTGTCATGGGCACAAGGCCTTTTTAACGTGGGCATTTCCGAGCCATTAGGCTCGGCCAAAAAATAGCCCATTTGAACCCGTATAAACGGGTTCTGGGCCGAGTTTAACCTCCCGAAGGAGACTCCGCCCTTCGGCGTAGCCTCCTTCGGGTTCCTCCCGCCCGTAGGAAGAGAGTTTAACCGTGCAGTCGGTTCAGACTTGAACTAGTGACGATATTCAGTCACCCCCCACGAGGGTGTCATGTGGCACAAGGCCTTTTTAACGTGGGCATTCCCGAGCCATTAGGCTCGGCCAAAAAATAGCCATTTGAACCCGTATAAACGGGTTCTGGGCCGAGTTTACCTCCCGAAGGAGACTCCACCCTTCGGCGTAGCCTCCTTCGGGTTCCTCCCCGCCCGTAGGAAGAGAGTTGAACCGTGCAGTCAGTTCAGACTTGAACTAGTGACAATATTCAGTCACCCCCCCACGAGGGTGTCATGTGGCACAAGGCCTTTTTAACGTGGGCATTCCCGAGCCATTAGGCTCGGCCAAAAAATAGCCCATTTGAACCCGTATAAACGGGCTCTGGGCCGGTTTTACCTCCCCGAAGGAGACTCCACCCTTCGGCGTAGCCTCCTTCGGGTTCCTCCCGCCCGTAGGAAGAGTTTAACCGAACAGTCGGTTCAGACTTGAACTAGTGACTATATTTAGTCGTCCCCCACGAGGGCGTCATGTGGCACAATATTATATTTGAACCCGTTAAACGGGTTCTGGGCTATTTCCCGAAGGAGACTCCGCCTTCGGCGTAGCCTCCTTCGGGTTCCTCCCGCCCGTAGGAAGAGAGTTTAACCGTGCAGTCGGTTCAGACTTGAACTAGTGACAATATTCAGTCACCCCCCCACGAGGGTTCATGAACCCGTTTTTAACGGGTTCTGGGCCATTAGGCTCGTAAAAAAATAGCCCATTTGAACCCGTATAAGGGGTTCTGGGCCGAGTTTACTCCCCTGAAGGAGACCTTCGGCGTAGCCTCCTTCGGGTTCCACCCGCCCGTAGGAAGAGAGTTGAACCGAACAGTCAGTTCAGACTTGAACTAGTGACAATATTCAGTCACCCCCCCACGAGGGTGTCATGTGGCACAAGGCCTTTTAACGTGGGCAATTCCCGAGCCATTAGGCTCGGCCAAAAATAGCCCATTTGAACCCGTATAAACGGGTTCTGGGCCGAGCCCCCCTCCCAGGAGACTCCGCCCTTCGGCGTAGCCTCCTTCAGGTTCCTCCCGCCCGTAGGAAGAGAGTTTAACCGAACAGTCGGTTCAGACTTGAACTAGTGACAATATTTAGTCACCCCCCACGAGGGTGTCATGTGGCACAAGGCCTTTTTAATGTGGGCATTCCCGAGCCATTAGGCTCGGCCAAAAATAGCCCATTTGAACCCCGTATAAACGGGTTCTGGGCCGTTTTAACCTCCCCGAAGGAGACTCCGCCCTTCGGCGTAGCCTCCTTCAGGTTCCTCCCGCCCGTAGGAAGAGAGTTTAACCGAACAGTCAGTTCAAACTTGAACTAGTGACAATATTCAGTCACCCCCCACGAGGGTGTCATGTGGCACAAGGCCTTTTTAACGTGGGCATTCCCGAGCCATTGGGCCCGGCCAAAAAATAGCCCATTTGAACCCGCATAAACGGGTTCTGGGCCGGTTTTACCTCCCCGAAGGAGACTCCGCCCTTCGGCGTAGCCTCCTTCGGGTTCCCTCCCGCCCGTAGGAAGAGAGTTTAACCGAACAGTCAGTTCAGACTTGAACTAGTGACGATATTCAGTCACCCCCCACGAGGGTGTCAT